TATATATATATATATATATATGTATATATATATGTATATATATATATGTATATATATATATGTATATATATATGTATATATATATGTATATATGTATATATATATGTATATATATATGTATATATATATGTATATATATATGTATATATATATATGTATATATATGTATATATATATGTATATATATATGTATATATATATATATGTATATATATATGTATATATATATATGTATAGGCCTATATATGTATATATAGGCCTATATATATATATTATTAGTGAAACTGACTTGATTAACAAGGTCATAACCTGACATATTGATGCAGATAAGCTAATAAACAATTAACCAAGTTACAGATCTAGAGTCTAGAGTTATATATTAATTAAACACTAATAATAATAATTTATTTTTACTTATGCAAAAAATGTAAATCTTAATTAAATAAAAAGGGCTAGAATCTAGATCTAGCCCTAATCTAATTCTAAATAGATGTTGTAGAGTAATGTAGAGTAATGTAGACCTAGTTTTAGGCCCTAGTAGCCTAGGGTTAGGGTTATTTTTAAGAATTCTACATCTAGATCTCATGTAGATCTAGATTCTAGATCTAGATTCCAATTGTAGTAATTAAGTAATGGTTAAGTGATGTGTAGATGCTTAACACTTAACATAGATTATAAATTTAAAAAGTTAAAACTGTAAATAAATATTGGAATTTAGATAGGCCCCATCTAAATTTCCAGATACTAGGGGCCTAAATATAATAATTAATAATCTATTGAACTAGATTTTGATCTAGAGATCTTTGTAAATAATAGATAGATCTATAATCTATATTCTAAATAATAGTAAATATACAACATCAAGACTTATAAATTATCATCTAGATCTAGATTCTAGGTCATATGCATGACCATGGCAAAGACTAAAGAAGTATTATAGATCTAGATATCTAGATCTAGATTTCCTAGATTATATTGTTACTAGAAGATATATCTAATATCTAATGTAGATCTAGATTCTAATCTATTAGATCTAGATCTAGATCTAAATCTAGTACCTACTCTTCTTAACTTTTAGATCTAAAATCTGGAGTAGAGTTCTAGAGTCTATCTTATCTTAAGTTGTATTCAAGTTATTCTTAACACTAAAAGTAAACAGTCATTTAGATTATCTAGTCTAGAAATATAGACTAGATCTAGACTCTAGATCAATCTTGAATCTAGAGTTCAAGATGTAATCAATCAAGTCTTCTATGATATTAATATTATTAATTTAATCCAGACTATTCTAGACTCTAGCTGGATCTAGATGTATAAATATTCAGTCTATTGACTAGAGATCTATATAATAGATCTAGATTCTAGCTAGTGTAGATTCTTACCCAATTCTTACCCATCTAAGAGCAATCCAGCAATATGTTCGTTTGTCTCAAAACCAAGGGCGTTTCGAACGACCCACCACCTGTGATACTCCGAGCCTATTTCTGTGGAGTGCCTCTGCTGCCGTCGACCAGGAAGAATCTTCTTCTCCTTACCAGCAGTATCTGCTGGAGTTTCTTTGTGCGGCGAACAGACCGTGCCTGACATATCTAACTGCAAGTGCATGGTTGACTCAATATCCATTATGCCAAACTTTGCAAACGTTTGTATCATTGCATGGTCGACCTTTCAATCATTTCCGTTAGTCTAAATCTAGATCTAGATCTAGATCTATGTATTTTTGTGACGTAACCAAAATTAGTGGTTTCTTAAGTTATGAAGAATGACGCAAAAAGTATTGAAAATATTTGATTGGCTAATCACATCTCTGGTAAAGATGGTGACGTTTGGGAGAGCCTAAATTTTAGTTTTGGGTGTCTCAAGCTTCATTATGAGAACACTGTTGTTTTTTAAAAATTGTTTTTAATATTTTACTCACTCGGGAAAAAATGTAGCGTAAGCCTATATATTTTTTTTAATTTTGTTTAAACCACTACACCAAAACTTAAAATTATTTTCGAAAATAACAGGTATTTATTTATTTTAATTACTAGGCGCCGTAAACTTTATTCGACGGAAGTTGCCCCACAGATTGAATGGCTTTACCCAAGTTTTGATACTTCGACCAGACAATTTCTACCTTTTAGGCCTATAGCCTATATCTAGGCCTATCACAGTTTTTGCCTAATTGGACTTTCGATTCTTTGTAGCCTTAATGCATTGTGTACGCTTATGTTTACTAAATAAACAGGCTTTTGAAAAAGTGACATATAGGCGTGATATTGATGTATAGATCTAGATCTAATACTGCCTTTTTAATGATTATAAAATTTAAGGCCAAGTTATTGCGCACGTAGGCGTGAAAAGCATTTGATAGAAACTTGTTAAAATTAAATTCAACAAGTTAATAAAAAGTCTAGTGACAATTTAAGCACAATTTCCTTATGTTATCCATAACAATTTTAAATCGAGATAAATCATATATTCAGCAAATAAATAATGCAACACAAGTAGTTTTAATAATTCAAAACAAAATAGAAAAAAATATTTATTAACGGGATTTAAAAAAAAATTGCGGACGTGTAGGGGGTATTTAGTTGTCGCGCTCTCTATATTGCTATATAGCACTGCAGTGTATTATGTATAATGTAATTTTTAAAAAAAATTTGTGACCGAACGAAAAGATATTTTTGAAAACTTTATTCGGCAATATTGTTCTAAATTATGGCAGGAATCGATTGGTAAATGTTTCAAGTCGCTAAGTGGTCTGGTTGCCGAGATATGGGCCAAAAACTGCATTTTTCGAGTTTTTTTTGGCTTTTCCGGGAAATCCAGGAAGGAATTCCGGGAATTTTTTGGCCCTCGGAACTTGCTTAACATGTTTGCTTTTTGAACTAGTCCTCGATATTGCTTCGTTGAGGAATATACGATTTAAAGCTGCGGACACACATCCTTGACGAGTTAATAATCGCAATGGTCCGTATGGAAATTGCGCTAAAAAAAGTATAGTGGCGATTCAAATGGAGTTGGGGAAGGGAAGCAATGTTTCTTTCAGACATTTTTTCTCCGGCGGGGGAGGGGTGGGGCACTCTGAAACTTGGGGGTTGGGGTGAAATTAAATTTCCGTGGAGAGGGAGGGGGTGACCAGGGGAGTAGGCATTCCCCGAAGAGATGCGTGAAATACATTTTTGATTGATGTTGCAACCAAAGACACAAGCAGAAGCGAATGACCACCCCTCCAATGTTAGTTGTGACACACATTTGTTTGGGAAATGATTTTGGCGTTGGTAGGTGTGACACACCGGTGATTAGGTAGAAATGATGGCTTTGTAAAAATTGCCTTTTTATGGTTGGATTAGCATTATTCTACAATCACTATACAATCCCATATATTATAGCCTAGTCTATTCCCATATAATATAGCTCAGTCTTTTTCCAAAATAATATAACCCATAATTATGTAGACCTTTAGTTATCGAATCTAATTATCACTAATTATGAATTATAAACTGAGTTAAATTAATAATAGAAATATAAAATGAGAAAATGAGGATTAAATTTAAAAAAAAATGTTTCTATTACATCGTTAATCCACGACTGTTACGTTTTTATCACTCAGCACAATCAAATATCTATGAGGCCAGGTCATGGCCATATATATGAGGCCAGGTCATGGCCATATATGTGAGGCCAGGTCATGGCCATATATGTGAGGCCAGGTCATGGCCATATATGTGAGGCCAGGTCATGGCCATATATGTGAGGCCAGGTCATGTCCAAATATGTGAGGCCAGGTCATGTCCATATATGTGAGGCCAGGTCATGGCCATATATGTGAGGTCAGGTCATGGCCATATATGTGAGGCCAGGTCATGGCCATATATGTGAGGCCAGGTCATGGCCATATATGTGAGGCCAGGTCATGGCCATATCTGTGAGGCCAGGTCATGGCCATATATGTGAGGCCAGGTCATGTCCATACCTCTCAAGGCTAGATAAGGGATGTAGGCCTATAAAAGCTAGACCACCAGACAAGCCCCCCCCCCCCCCCCTCTCCCCACCTAATACAGAATACAATCAAGCCTCTAGCTATGCCGTGAGATCGACACAACATAATTTCCGTACATGAGATTATCTCAAGCTTGGAGATTTCCTATCTGCAGTAATTAGCCATAATTAGCAATTTTATATAGCAGCAGTTATTAGGTCTCCTGGTAGTATTTATACGCCAGTTTTCAGCCCTTAACAACTTTAGATAAAAGCTGATATTTAAAGGTAGCTTTTGATAAAGGCTGATTGTTAAAGGTAGTTTTGAAACCGACTGACGTTTAAAGGTAGTCTCTAATATAGACTGATATTTGAAACAGATTGATATTTGAAGGTAGTTTTAGTATAGACTGATATTTGAAGGTAGTTTTAGTATAGACTGATATTTGAAGGTAGTTTTAGTATAGACTGATATTTGAAGGTAGTTTTAGTATAGACTGATATTTGAAGGTAGTTTTAGTATAGACTGATATTTGAAGGTAGTTTTAGTATAGACTGATATTTGAAGGTAGTTTTAGTATAGACTGATATTTGAAGGTAGTTTTAGTATAGACTGATATTTGAAGGTAGTTTTAGTATAGACTGATATTTGAAGGTAGTTTTAGTATAGACTGATATTTGAAGGTAGTTTTAGTATAGACTGATATTTGAAGGTAGTTTTAGCATAGACTGATATTTGAAGGTAGTTTTAGTATAGACTGATATTTGAAGGTAGTTTTAGTATAGACTGATATTTGAAGGTAGTTTTAGTATAGACCAGGGGTCTCCAAACTTTTCAGTCCGAGGGCCGCATTAACTATCAAATTTTAGTTCGGGGGCCAGTTTCTTCCAGGCATGTCTTTGATTATTCTGGGCAAAGTTCCTCAGCCATCACCAACAAACTGTTTTTCCGTGGACAAAAAGATTTCCGCGGGCCGGATGAGAGGACATCGCGGGCCGCATCCGGCCCGCGGGCCGTAGTTTGGAGACCCCTGGTATAGACTGATATTTGAAGGTAGTTTTAGTATAGACTGATATTTGAAGGTAGTTTTAGTATAGACTGATATTTGAAGGTAGTTTTAGTATAGACTGATATTTGAAGGTAGTTTTAGTATAGACTGATATTTGAAGGTAGTTTTAGTATAGACTGATATTTGAAGGTAGTTTTAGTATAGACTGATATTTGAAGGTAGTTTTAGTATAGACTGATATTTGAAGGTAGTTTTAGTATAGACTGATATTTGAAGGTAGTTTTGATATAGACTGATATTTGAAGGTAGTTTTAGTATAGACTGATATTTGAAGGTAGTTTTAGTATAGACTGATATTTGAAGGTAGTTTTAGTATAGACTGATATTTGAAGGTAGTTTTAGTATAGACTGATATTTGAAGGTAGTTTTAGTATAGACTGATATTTGAAGGTAGTTTTAGTATAGACTGATATTTGAAGGTAGTTTTAGTATAGACTGATATTTGAAGGTAGTTTTAGCATAGACTGATATTTGAAGGTAGTTTTAGTATAGACTGATATTTGAAGGTAGTTTTAGTATAGACTGATATTTGAAGGTAGTTTTAGTATAGACCAGGGGTCTCCAAACTTTTCAGTCCGAGGGCCGCATTAACTATCAAATTTTAGTTCGGGGGCCAGTTTCTTCCAGGCATGTCTTTGATTATTCTGGGCAAAGTTCCTCAGCCATCACCAACAAACTGTTTTTCCGTGGACAAAAAGATTTCCGCGGGCCGGATGAGAGGACATCGCGGGCCGCATTCGGCCCGCGGGCCGTAGTTTGGAGACCCCTGGTATAGACTGATATTTGAAGGTAGTTTTAGTATAGACTGATATTTGAAGGTAGTTTTAGTATAGACTGATATTTGAAGGTAGTTTTAGTATAGACTGATATTTGAAGGTAGTTTTAGTATAGACTGATATTTGAAGGTAGTTTTAGTATAGACTGATATTTGAAGGTAGTTTTAGTATAGACTGATATTTGAAGGTAGTTTTAGTATAGACTGATATTTGAAGGTAGTTTTAGTATAGACTGATATTTGAAGGTAGTTTTGATATAGACTGATATTTGAAGGTAGTTTTAGTATAGACTGATATTTGAAGGTAGTTTTAGTATAGACTGATATTTGAAGGTAGTTTTAGTATAGACTGATATTTGAAGGTAGTTTTAGTATAGACTGATATTTGAAGGTAGTTTTAGTATAGACTGATATTTGAAGGTAGTTTTAGTATAGACTGATATTTGAAGGTAGTTTTGATATAGACTGATATTTGAAGGTAGTTTTAGTATAGACTGATATTTGAAGGTAGTTTTAGTATAGACTGATATTTGAAGGTAGTTTTAGTATAGACTGATATTTGAAGGTAGTTTTAGTATAGACTGATATTTGAAGGTAGTTTTAGTATAGACTGATATTTGAAGGTAGTTTTGATATAGACTGATATTTGAAGGTAGTTTTAGTATAGACTGATATTTGAAGGTAGTTTTAGTATAGACTGATATTTGAAGGTAGTTTTAGTATAGACTGATATTTGAAGGTAGTTTTAGTATAGACTGATATTTGAAGGTAGTTTTAGTATAGACTGATATTTGAAGGTAGTTTTAGTATAGACTGATATTTGAAGGTAGTTTTGATATAGACTGATATTTGAAGGTAGTTTAGTATAGACTGATATTTGAAGGTAGTTTTAGTATAGACTGATATTTGAAGGTAGTTTTAGTATAGACTGATATTTGAAGGTAGTTTTAGTATAGACTGATATTTGAAGGTAGTTTTAGTATAGACTGATATTTGAAGGTAGTTTTAGTATAGACTGATATTTGAAGGTAGTTTTAGTATAGACTGATATTTGAAGGTAGTTTTAGTATAGACTGATATTTGAAGGTAGTTTTAGTATAGACTGATATTTGAAGGTAGTTTTAGTATAGACTGATATTTGAAGGTAGTTTTAGTATAGACTGATATTTGAAGGTAGTTTTAGTATAGACTGATATTTGAAGGTAGTTTTGATATAGACTGATATTTGAAGGTCGTTTTAATATAGACTGATATTTGAATGTCGTTTTGATATAGACTGATATTTGAAGGTAGTTTTGATATAGACTGATATTTGAAGGTCGTTTTGATATAGACTGATATTTAAATTTTCTTGTTAAACTTTAGTTTCTATTATTTTCCTTTTATTTGAAACATTTTGTTATTTTATTAAATATATTTTTCTGTGTTGTCCTATCCTCTAGTATTGTTTTTATATGTAGAATCTATACTTAGGAGAACCCGACAGTAGCTTTTGATAAAGGCTGATATAATTATAAAGGTAGCTTTAAATATGGTCTGATATATTTGAGGCTGGTTTCATCTGTTGCGGTAATAATTTCCTTCTATTAACATGAATTAGTTGCGATGTATTTGAGGCTGGTTTCATCTGTTGCGGTATGTGTGGCTGTTCTACTGTGTGTGGCGGGAGCTGAACTTGATGATGATGACGTGTGGTGGAACCTCATGTGGTTGGATTACCTCAACCAACAAAATCAAAACACTCAGGTTTGTAGATCTAAACTTAATAAAAACAAAAGTTTAATATGTGTGATTGTGTATTTGAACTTGATGTGAGTGATTGTGTATTTGAACCTGATGTGAGTGATTGTGTATTTGAAACTGATGTGAGTGATTGTGTATTTGAACCTGATGTGAGTGATTGTGTATTTGACCAGGGTCAGTGTGGAGCCTACGGTGGGTTTTGTAACGAAACAACAGCCTGCTGTCAGTACCCGGGCTACGACAAGTTTGCTTGCTTCAATGACGTCTGTCTGCAGGAGATGGTAAGATGGGGGGGGGGGGGGCTGTGGGAGATGGTAAGATGGGGGGGGGGGGCTTTAGGAGATGGTAAGATGGGGGGGGGGCTGTAGGAGATGGTAAAATGGGGAGGGGGGCTGTAGGAGATGGTAAGATGGGGAGGGGAGGGGGCTGTGGGAGATGGTAAAATGGGGAGAGGGGCTGTAGGAGATGGTAAGATGGGGAGAGGGGCTGTAGGAGATGGTAAGATGGGGAGGGGAGGCTTTAGGAGATGGTAAGATGGGGGGCTGCAGGAGATGGTAAGATGGGGAGAGGGGCTGTAGGAGATGGTAAGATGGGGAGGGGGGCTTTAGGAGATGGTAAGATGGGGGGGGGCTGTGGGAGATGGTAAAATGGGGAGGGGGGCTGTAGGAGATGGTAAGATGGGGGGCCTGTAGGAGATGGTAAGATGGGGGGGGGGCTGTAGGAGATGGTAAATTGGGGGGGGGTGCAGGAGATGGTAAGATGGGGGGGGGGCTGTAGGAGATGGTAAGATGGGGAGGGCTGTAGGAGATGGTAAGATGGGGAGGGGGGCTGTAGGAGATGGTAAGATGGGGGGGGGGGGCTGTAGGAGATGGTAAGATGGGGAGGGGGGCTGTAGGAGATGGTAAGATGGGGAGGGGGGGCTTTAGGAGATGGTAAGATGGGGGGGGGGGTGCAGGAGATGGTAAGATGGGGGGGGCTGTAGGAGATGGTAAAATGGGGAGGGGGGGGCTGTAGGAGATGGTAAGATGGGGAGGGGGGCTGTAGGAGATGGTAAGATGGGGAGGGGGGGCTTTAGGAGATGGTAAGATGGGGGGGGGTGCAGGAGATGGTAAGATGGGGGGGGGGGCTGTAGGAGATGGTAAATTGGGGGGGGGGTGCAGGAGATGGTAAGATGGGGGGGGGCTGTAGGAGATGGTAAGATGGGGAGGGCTGTAGGAGATGGTAAGATGGGGAGGGGGGGCTGTAGGAGATGGCAAGATTGGGGGGCTGTAGGAGATGGTAAGATGGGGGGGGGAGGGCTGTGGGAGATGGTAAAATGGGGAGGGGGGGGCTGTAGGAGATGGTAAGATGGGGAGGGGGGCTGTAGGAGATGGTAAGATGGGGAGGGGGGGGCTGTAGGAGATGGTAAAATGGGGAGGGGGGGCTGTAGGAGATGGTAAGATGGGGAGGGGGGCTGTAGGAGATGGCAAGATGGGGGGGGGGCTGTGGGAGATGGTAAAATATGGAGGGGGGGCTGTAGGAGATGGTAAGATGGGGGGCCTGTAGGAGATGGTAAGATGGGGGGGGGGCTGTAGGAGATGGTCAGATGGGGTGGGGGGCTGTAGGAGATGGTAAGATGGGGAAGGGGGCTGTAGGAGATGGTAAGATGGGGTGGGGGGGCTGTAGGAGATGGTAAGATGGGGTGGGGGGCTGTAGGAGATGGTTAGATTTTCTTTCTCCTTTAATTTAAAAAAAAAACTTTTCATTTTACAAACTAAATTTCTTTTGAAAAGCTGTCAAAGTGGATACGGTTTCATAAGGCTTGCTTTGTTAATGTAGACTTTTCTTTTGCTTTGTTATTATAGATTGTACAATTGCTTTGTTACTTCCAGTGCGGCTATCCAGGTCAGTACTGCGGGTGGTACTATGGATATTATTATGGCGCCTGCTGTTACCATCTGGGCCTAACTTGTAGCGGGCAGACAGGTACATGCGTACAGGCCAGCACAGGCTGGAAGTGACGACATGATGGAACTGATTGGCTAATATTTTGGATTGATCACGATTGATTGGCTACTATTTTTGATTGATCACAATTAAAACGGGTTTCTAAAGCCTCAACGATCATTGTTATGTTATTTTATAATAGTTGTTGTAAAAGTGGTGAAGTAGTGGTTGTACCGGTGGTGAGGTAGTAGTTGTACTGGTGGTGAGGTGGTGGTAAGGTAGTGGTTGTACCGGTGGTGAGGTAGTAGTTGTACTGGTGGTGAGGTGGTGGTGAGGTAGTGGTTGTACTAGTGGTGAGGTAGTGGTTGTACTGGTGGTGAGGTAGTGGTTGTACTGGTGGTGAGGTAGAGGTTGTACTGGTAGTAAGGTAGCGGTTGTACTGGTGGTGAGGTAGTGGTTGTACTGGTGGTGAGGTAGTGGTTGTACCGGTGGTGAGGTAGTGGTTGTAGTAGTGGTGAGGTGGTGGTTGTGCTGGTGGTGAGGTAGTGGTTGTACTGGTGGTGAGGTGGTGGTTGTACTGGTGGTGAGGTGGTGGTTGTACTGGTGGTGAGGTAGTGGTTGTACTGGTGGTGAGGTAGTGGTTGTACTGGTGGTGAGGTGGTGGTTGTACTGGTGGTGAGGTAGTGGTTGTACTGGTGGTGAGGTAGTGGTTGTACTGGTGCTGAGGTAGTGGTTGTACCGGTGGTGAGGTGGTGGTGGTGAGGTAGTGGTTGTACTAGTGGTGAGGTAGTGGTTGTACTAGTGGTGAGGTAGTGGTTGTACTGGTGGTGAGGTAGTGGTTGTACCGGTGGTGAGGTAGTAGTTGTACTGGTGGTGAGGTGGTGGTGAGGTAGTGGTTGTACTAGTGGTGAGGTAGTGGTTGTACTGGTGGTGAGGTAGTGGTTGTACCGGTGGTGAGGTAGTAGTTGTACTGGTGGTGAGGTGGTGGTGAGGAAGTGGTTGTACTAGTGGTGAGGTAGTGGTTGTACTGGTGGTGAGGTAGTAGTTGTACTGGTGGTGAGGTGGTGGTGAGGTAGTGGTTGTACTAGTGGTGAGGTAGTGGTTGTACTGGTGGTGAGGTAGTGGTTGTACTGGTGGTGAGGTAGTGGTTGTACTGGTGGTGAGGTGGTGGTGAGGTAGTGGTTGTACTGGTGGTGAGGTAGTGGTTGTACTGGTGGTGAGGTAGTGGTTGTACTGGTGGTGAGGTAGTGGTGAGGTAGTGGTTGTACTGGTGGTGAGGTAGTGGTTGTACTGGTGGTGAGGTAGTGGTTGTACTGGTGGTGAGGTAGAGGTTGTACTGGTGGTGAGGTAGTTGTTGTACTGGTGGTAAGGTAGCGGTTGTACTGGTGGTGAGGTAGTGGTTGTACTGGTGGTGAGGTAGTGGTTGTACCGGTGGTGAGGTAGTGGTTGTATCGGTGGTGAGGTAGTGGTTGTGCTGGTGGTGAGGTGGTGGTTGTACTGGTGGTGAGGTGGTGGTTGTGCTAGTGGTGAGGTAGTGGTTGTGCTAGTGGTGAGGTAGTGGTTGTACTGGTGGTGAGGTAGTGGTTGTACTAGTGGTGAGGTAGTGGTTGTACCGGTGGTTAGGTAGTGGTTGTACTGGTGGTAAGTTAGTGGTTGTACCGGTGGTGAGGTGGTGGTTGTACTGGTGGTGAGGTAGTGGTTGTACTGGTGGTGAGGTAGTGGTGGTGAGGTAGTGGTTGTACTGGTGGTGAGGTAGTGGTTGTACTAGTGGTGAGGTAGTGGTTGTACTGGTGGTGAGGTAGTGGTTGTACTGGTGGTGAGGTAGTGGTTGTACTGGTGGTGAGGTGGTGGTTGTACTGGTGGTGAGGTAGTGGTTGTACTGGTGGTGAGGTAGTGGTGGTGAGGTAGTGGCTGTACTAGTGGTGAGGTAGTGGTTGTACTAGTGGTGAGGTAGTGGTTGTACCGGTGGTGAGGTAGTAGTTGTACAGGTGGTGAGGTAGTAGTTGTACTAGTGGTGAGGTAGTGGTTGTACTAGTGGTGAGGTAGTGGTTGTACTAGTGGTGAGGTAGTGGTTGTACTAGTGGTGAGGTAGTGGTTGTACTGGTGGTGAGGTAGTTGTTGTACTAGTGGTGAGGTAGTGGTTGTACTGGTGGTGACGTAGTGGTTGTACTGGTGGTGAGGTAGTGGTGGTGAGGTAGTGGTTGTACTGGTGGTGAGGTAGTGGTTGTACTAGTGGTGAGGTAGTGGTTGTACTGGTGGTGAGGTAGTGGTTGTACTGGTGGTGAGGTAGTGGTTGTACTGGTGGTGAGGTAGTGGTTGTACTGGTGGTGAGGTGGTGGTGAGGTAGTGGTTGTCCTGGTGGTGAGGTGGTGGTGAGGTAGTGGTTGTACTAGTGGTGAGGTAGTGGTTGTACCGGTGGTGAGGTAGTGGTTGTACTGGTGGTGAGGTAGTGGTTGTACTGGTAGTGAGGTAGTGGTGGTGAGGTAGTGGTTGTACTGGTGGTGAGGTAGTGGTTGTACTGGTGGTGAGGTGGTGGTTGTACTGGTGGTGAGGTAGTGGTTGTACTGGTGGTGAGGTAGTGGTTGTACTGGTGGTGAGGTGGTGGTGAGATAGTGGTTGTACTGGTGGTGAGGTGGTGGTGAGGTAGTGGTTGTACTAGTGGTGAGGTAGTGGTTGTACCGGTGGTGAGGTAGTGGTTGTACTGGTGGTGAGGTAGTGGTTGTACTGGTAGTGAGGTAGTGGTTGTACTGGTGGTGAGGTAGTGGTTGTACTGGTGGTGAGGTAGTGGTTGTACTGGTGGTGAGGTGGTGGTTGTACTGGTGGTGAGGTAGTGGTTGTACTGGTGGTGAGGTAGTGGTGGTGAGGTAGTGGTTGTACTGGTGGTGAGGTGGTGGTTGTACTGGTGGTGAGGTGGTGGTTGTACTGGTGGTGAGGTAGTGGTAGTGAGGTAGTGGTTGTACTGGTGGTGAGGTAGTGGTTGTACTGGTGGTGAGGTGGTGGTTGTACTGGTGGTGAGGTAGTGGTTGTACTGGTGGTGAGGTAGTGGTTGTACTGGTGGTGAGGTGGTGGTTGTACTGGTGGTGAGGTAGTGGTTGTACTGGTGGTGAGGTAGTGGTGGTGAGGTAGTGGTTGTACTGGTAGTGAGATATTGTTTGTGCTAGTGGTGAGGTAGTGGTTGTACCGATGGTGAGGTTGTGGTTGTACTAGTGGTGAGGTAGTGGTTGTACTGGTGGTGAGGTAGTGGTTGTACTGGTAGTGAGGTAGTGGTTGTACCGGTGGTGAGGTAGTAGTTGTACTGGTGGGGAGGTAGTGGTTGTACTAGTGGTGAGGTAGTGGTTGTACCGGTGGTTAGGTAGTGGTTGTACTGGTGGTGAGGTAGTGGTTGTACTTGTTGTGAGATAGTGGTGGTGAGGTAGTGGTTGTACTGGTGGTGAGATGGTGGTTGTACTAGTGGTAAGGTAGTGGTTGTACTGGCAGTGAGATATTGTTTGTGCTAGTGGTGAGATAGTGGTTGTACCGCTGGTGAGGTAGTGGTTGTACCGGTGGTGAGGTAGTGGTTGTGCTGGTGGTGAGGTGGTGGTTGTACTGGTGGTGAAGTGGAGGTTGTACTAGTGGTGAGGTAGTGGTTGTACTGGTGGTGAGGTGGTGGTTGTGCTAGTGGTGAGGTAGTGGTTGTACTGGTGGTGAGGTAGTGGTTGTACTAGTGGTGAGGAAGTGGTTGTACCGGTGGTTAGGTAGTGGTTGTACTGGTGGTAAGTTAGTGGTTGTTCCGGTGGTTAGGTAGTGGTTGTACTGGTGGTGACGTAGTGGTTGTACTGGTGGTGAGGTAGTGGTGGTGAGGTAGTGGTTGTACTGGTGGTGAGGTAGTGGTTGTACTAGTGGTGAGGTAGTGGTTGTACTGGTGGTGAGGTAGTGGTTGTACTGGTGGTGAGATAGTGGTTGTACTAGTTGTGAGGTAGTGGTGGTGAGGTAGTGGTTGTACTAGTGGTGAGGTAGTGGTTGTACTAGTGGTGAGGTAGTGGTTGTACTAGTGGTGAGGTAGTGTTTGTACATGTGGTGAGGTGGTGGTTGTACTGGTGGTGACGTAGTGGTTGTACTGGTGGTGAGGTAGTGGTGGTGAGGTAGTGGTTGTACTGGTGGTGAGGTGGTGGTTGTACTGGTGGTGAGGTAGTGGTAGTGAGGTAGTGGTTGTACTGGTGGTGAGGTAGTGGTTGTACTGGTGGTGAGGTAGTGGTTGTACTGGTGGTGAGGTGGTGGTTGTACTGGTGATGAGGTAGTGGTTGTACTGGTGGTGGGGTAGTGGTTGTACTGGTGGTGAGGTGGTGGTTGTACTGGTGGTGAGGTAGTGGTTGTACTGGTGGTGAGGTAGTGGTGGTGAGGTAGTGGTTGTACTGGTAGTGAGATATTGTTTGTGCTAGTGGTGAGGTAGTGGTTGTACCGATGGTGAGGTAGTGGTTGTACTGGTAGTGAGATAGTGGTTGTACCGGTGGTGAGGTAGTAGTTGTACTGGTGGGGAGGTAGTGGTTGTACTAGTGGTGAGGTAGTGGTTGTACCGGTGGTTAGGTAGTGGTTGTACTGGTGGTGAGGTAGTGGTTGTACTGTTGGTGAGGTAGTGGTGGTGAGGTAGTGGTTGTACTGGTGGTGAGATGGTGGTTGTACTAGTGGTAAGGTAGTGGTTGTACTGGCAGTGAGATATTGTTTGTGCTAGTGGTGAGGTAGTGGTTGTACCGCTGGTGAGGTAGTGGTTGTACCGGTGGTGAGGTAGTGGTTGTGCTGGTGGTGAGGTGGTGGTTGTACTGGTGGTGAGGTGGTGGTTGTACTAGTGGTGAGGTAGTGGTTGTACTGGTGGTGAGGTGGTGGTTGTGCTAGTGGTGAGATAGTGGTTGTACTGGTGGTGAGGTAGTGGTTGTACTAGTGGTGAGGTAGTGGTTGTATCGGTGGTTAGGTAGTGGTTGTACTGGTGGTAAGTTAGTGGTTGTACCGGTGGTTAGGTAGTGGTTGTACTGGTGGTGAGGTAGTGGTTGTACTAGTGGTGAGGTAGTGGTTGTACTGGTGGTGAGGTAGTGGTTGTACTGGTGGTGAGATAGTGGTTGTACTGGTGGTGAGGTAGTGGTTGTACCGGTGGTGAGGTAGTAGTTGTACCGGTGGTGAGGTAGTAGTTGTACTGGTGGGGAG